TGGCAGTCCTTTGGTACATAATTGTATACTAATAGGTATATTTTCATGGACAAAACCTTGTGCACTTGGTTTTCCTGATGTTTTTACCAGAGTAAGCCACTTTATGGATTTCATTAAACAAGTAATGCAGGATAATTAGAAGTAATCAATAATATCGATTGAGCTAATGTAAATAATATAATTAATAAACTTTTATATATATGTATGTATATAATTTTATATATAATAATTTATAAACTAACTCGATCCATTTTTAAGATCTAATAATCATATTACTCAGTTCAACTAGGCGATTTCCGTACAGATATTTGCGCTGTTTATTTTATAGCTGCCGTGTGTATATTTGCTGCGAGATACAACCATGTCTCTTGGTAATAAGATGTGATAGAATGAATAAATATTTTTGAAAAAGAATGTTTCTTTTTTCGACGCTTTTTATTGTATGTGTGTGTGTGTGTGTGTGTGTGTGTGTGTGTGTGTGTGTGTGTGTGTGTGTGTGTGTCATATTATTATATATGTACATATCCCTTCAATTAGAAATAAATCTGTTAAAAAAAAAAATCACTGTCAACAGCGTTTCGATTTGAAAAGACTTGATCGATCGCGAATTCAATATTATGAAATTTCGATTAAATACATTTTTTCATAAAATAAACTTTATTATATAGACAAAACTTTAATTTAAAAGTAAATTGAAAATAACTGAATCGATTATCTTCCGATAGAATCTAAGGCCTCTATATACGTATAATTTTTATTAATTCTAATGATTCATTACTGAATCTCATCTCAAAAGTATACGGAGAGAAATGAGAAATTCAGATGAATGAGATAGGATTCGAAAGAGGGATAATAAATTTCTCTTATATTAATAAAAATATCTCTTTGTATCTTGTAATTTATTGAAATCATTTTTTGTATAATTCTAAAATTAAGTATTTTAAGAGATCTAAAACTGAACGAGATTACAAAAATAATTATAACACACAACTAGATAAAATTCTATTTCATGACAAAATGTATACAAGATCTGACTTCATATTAACTGCTACAAAATTCAGTTATCAATTACTTTATATGGATAAATTACAAACTAATAATCACTTATTGTAACACAGTTGAAACATCTATGATATTCTGAGCTGAGTGTGTGCGTATATAAGGAATGTAAGAATAAAGCAATAAAGCCTATTCATCGGAGAATATAAAAAATGTAACGAATAAATTATTTTACTTATTTCGTAATATACGTTAATATTTCGATAGATGATTGTCGCACAACCTTGGGATTTGTTTGTCGCGGAAGAGCGGGTGAGGGGCGCGTCACGTTTACGCAGTCACCCCGCAGTCGGCAGTCATTTAATTGCCGAGGCTCGTGCAAGTAGATAGCCCGGGTAGCCGTGCTGATCTTTTTCATATTTCCTTTTGAAATGTAATTGCAACAAATGCTGGATAATATGAAGCTTCATACTTTAGATTCCAAAAACTTATTTAAAATAAGAAATCAGAACAATCTTTAAATACTAAATAACTGCTTAATTTTTTTATTTAAAATACATATTTTAAATAAAATTGTTTTAAATATGATCGATCCATGCATAAATTTAATAACAATATACCGATAAATATATGTATATAGCACTCTATACATCCGTTGCCTTGAAATGGATCAATTAAAACAGATTACGGTAAACTTAATCCTGGATACCTCTTATTGAATTTATTGTGCATGCGAGTTTGTGATGTAGTATGTAGGTATATAAAGCGCACTCGTATATATGCATACGTTATATAAAGATAGATTTTTTGGAAGAACTTGAAATATTATTATAGAATATATATTATTAATAATTATATTATTTAATTACCAGTATTGTGTGTGATCAATCTTAAAATTGAATACATCGAAGTTTATTGAACTATTATGCTTATTATTTAGAAATATGTAGAGTATAATTTCTTGAAAATATAAAAATAAAGAATATATAAGAGATTAAATAAAAATAAAAAACATTAAATTTAAATAAACTTCAATAATAATAAAATAAAGAACGAGAAAAATACTTGATATTTTACTTTAAAGTTATGATAATAAAAATATACTTTCCCACAAATATAGATTACTGATAAGCCGATATAAAATCTGTTATAGATGTGTATGGAAGTACTTTAATTAGGTTATCGACCACTAGGCGGCTATCATTTTAAACTATGTATTAACAGTATATTAGAAGTAAATAGTTAAAAGTATATAAAAAGTTATATAAATTTTGTATTGAGATTTCTGTTTATATATATATAAATTATTTCTTAAGAATTAAATTCTAAAATATTTATTTTACTTTATTACTGCACTGATTTTCGGAAAATGAAATTAAGGATATGAGTATGTCGTTTCTCGATAGTGTTTATGTTCGTTACATTTTCGTTATAAGGACGTGCTACCGATTGTTATTTCGGATCCCTCCTTCCGGAGCGGAAAGGGATCTGATAGTCTGATACCGGTCAGGGAAACCGTTATTTGGAGTTTGCATCTTCGTAAGATCTTGTTTATCATTAAGCGATTGAACTTGAACACCGTTAAGTTTAATTCATGGTTGCTCAAGTCCTAATTACAATTATATAAGCTTGATCTTTGTTTCTTTCTTCAATTGATTTAAAAACTGTTGTGAGGTCTATAATTAGGCCGACTTTATTCGTATGGTTTGACGCCCGTATACTTGGACGTTGACAACATCGCATGACAATAATATGCTCTCTAAGTGTAATCGTAATATATCGAGCTATATCATGTACATAATGAAAGGTAACATTCCATTATTATAATAGATTATACTTTATGAAACGAAACAAAGGGTATGTGGCTCCAGTTTAGCGCTCTGAAGCAAATATGCTCACTGAATCGGTAACGCATTGACTATCTTTTTGCAAGAGTTAAAATAAGATCAGATTATAGAGAATCAAGATAAAATTATAAATAATTTTATTTTTCTAATATTAAACAAAATTTTAGATGCAAAAAATTTTATTTTAATTTAGTCATATTAATTTACATTTTTTAGAATTAGATTTTTGTTATGATCAGATTTTGATTAGAATATTTTTCGATTTCATCTAAAACGTAAGTACGATTACACTTAGAGAGCTTTTTATCTAATAAATATAATCTACAACATGATTCTCCAACGAATGTTGCAAAAGCGTCACGTCAGAAGAATACGATTAATTTTATTTATATTAGGAGAGAACGTATACATATAAAGCATTGTTAATATTGCTAATAAATTGCTAATTAATGTTTATTTCTGCAAATAAGGCTGTTTTAATAAAAGTCTTCCCTATGTGAATATTTTTTACATTCATAGCGTAATGATCAGATGCTCTAGTTTTATAGAAAAAAGTAAGCTAAAACGACTAAGCTAGATAATAAAACTATAACTGAACATAAATGTTGCTCACATTAATAAACAATTAATGATTATAAATCTAATAATAACATTACAGAGGACCGGTATAAATTTATCAATTATGTAACGCACGTAAATTGATTAACTGTTACAAATCCAATTACAATAAATTAGGTTCAATAATATGGTACTTTCCCCTTAACTTCATAACATCCCTTCTTTTTATCTTACCAACGATGAGGCATGCGTACATTGCATGTGGGGGTGTGTCATTATCCACCACCATGAGATCTCTTCGACCTCCGATTATTCATGCGCGAGGTATTTACATCAGTATGTCATGGTAACGCGACGGTGATACTTGCTATGTGGTTTTGCGTTGTCGCGCTCGGGTGTGACCGAAACAGCTATTCATTTTTTTATATCGTCCATTAATAATATTTGTAGTTAGAATTGCGTGAATGCCATCTCTACACATGAAAAGACATCTTTTAACATTAATCAACATTATTATATAATTAAATAATTTTGTGTTAATAACGTTACGAATGCCGTTCTGCTCGTGACAAATATTCAGGCGAACATAATATCACAATTCTAGTGAGGGTAAGTAAATATGATTATGCACATCTCTGAACAAGCGAAATAAAGGTTGAAACACACGTGAATTTTGATGCCCAATGTCAGTGAAATTAATGGGAATAATACTTAATGGTTATTGTCATATATGCCTATAATATGTCATATATGCCTGTAATGTATAACAAGTGCAAGAAGTAAATATGTCCTGTCCCATACTTGTAAGTCGTTGTTGCCAATCTGATATAAACAAGATGATTAGATTTAATAATTAAAATACCGAAGCTTTTTACCTTTCTATCTCTTTATCACAATCTTGGCTGTGATTAAACCCAATTGTCTATTAATTATTGGATACAGCGGGGCTTGGTTTTAATTATTAATTGGAATTCTGTTTAATAAGTTTAATTTTAGCTATTACTAGCGTGTTACATTTTCTATTTGTGCTATTATTTTTTTAACTGTTTGGCTTGAATAATTTATCGAATCTTCATTTATTTCTGTAGAAATATATTTTTAAGATTTAAAAAAGTATTGAAAAAATTTTTTATGTAAAAATATTTAAATATTAACAACATATATAGTTATGATTTCTCTTGATATTATGTAAAAATTTCCAAATTAAATTTCATTATTATTATTCTATTAATCAAAATAATACAATTGACATTAAAAAATTAATTAATAAAAATAAATAATTTGCCAAATTAATAAATTATTTTATCAACCAACGACCATGTAAAAGAAAATTCGAGTAAATTTTTGGCTCTTTTCTGTAGGCGTATATAATAATATGAATTCAATAGCAGCTATAATATAAATAATTTACATTAATAATAATATATAATAAAGAATATATATTTGACCGAAACGTTTACTTGGTTTTATTTGAAATACATGTTTTAAGCTAAATACATCAAGCGTTGTGGCTGTATGCTCCTTATTGTTTACAATTTTTTATATATATTTGCTCAATAATTTTTATCAAGTACTAAAAATATGCAACGAAATATTTCAAAGTGACATTTTTTGTTCGATCCAAGGAACATGCGAATGGACATTAGTATATACATCTGGATAACCCTCGGCGCATGGTATTCCACCAGATACCAGACCAACAATTGTATTGTCGCTATTTCGAATCAATCCGCTACCGCTGTCACCCTGAAATCGAAAAATGGATTATTTCTTATTATAGAGATTACTATCTCTTCCGAATACGTTGAATCTGAAGTTGATATATTATTTAATGGATGCAATATCAAAACACAACTGATATTCATACAGCGCCGTGAGCCAACCAGAATAATTAATAAAATGTACTGACGGAAAAAATTAAATGAAAAAAAAGATAAGCAACAATAAAATTAGATATGCATTCAGGCAACTGTTATAAATACAATATAATATTATTACATACACTGCACAGTCCAGTTCCATAAGTGATGAGAGTACAGAATTCGGTTTTATCAACGAATATGATTGTATGATAAGATTGGCATTTGTCCGGAAGCATGGCTTTCGCGTACAATTTCTGCAAATTTTTATGTAGCGGTTTTCCGGCTCCCGTAGAACCCCAGGCAGCAATTGTAACTTTTTCATCCGATTTAATATCCCTTGTTGGGAGCCTAATTGCTCGTTCTCCTGGACCAAATTTAATGGGTGTAGCCAGCTAAAAACATTTTATATCAATGATCTAAACTGAAGAAGTGATTAAAGAATGTTTCATTACTTAAAACCTCTATATTATTTTTTATCATTACTATAGCAGAAAGTATATCGGGCGATTCATAAATATATATCACAAAACTAATATATATCTATAATATTATATTATATTTATATATATGTTAAATGGAATGGAAGAGGTACTATTCCGTTACTTTTTGCGTTATTTTTTATGATAACGATTTGATAATGACGTTACAATTTTCTATGACTATAGCGATAGCTAACTAAACGCTAAGATCGCGTTAAGGTTTAAAAAGTAACTTGCAACATTACGCATTTATTTATTGAAAAAATAACTTGTAACGAGTAACGTTACTTGTTACAAATAACGACTAAAAAATAATGAGTTACAAATACCAAGTTAATTTTTTCAGTAACGAGTGACTTTTCTAACTCATTACAAGTAATGATCGAATGAATTTCCAATCCCTCTGATATTATTATTACGGGCAAAAAAACGTCATTGAAAAATCGTTATTATAATAGAGTAACGATAAGGCATAGTAAGTAACGTTAAAAGTAATTAGCTATTTCCATTCTCTGGTTAAATACATATTTTATTTCAAGATTATACCTTTATCAAACCTATGTCATGAGGGCTTCTACCATTAGGATCAGAGGGATCATAATCTTCATGGCACCAAACTTGTTCTACTTTATGAGCCTGTCCGCCTGTATTGAGATAAGTTGTGCCAGTGACAACAGTCACAGAGCTTAGAGAGTCGTTGGAAAGTAAATTTTCCACGCAATGCCCGGCAGTTAGGATGTAACGCGAATCAATTATGCTACCGCCACAAAAGTGGTCGTTGTCATCTCTTAAGGAGGCACAATGCGGATATTCCTGTATGCTGGCGGGTATTCCATTTACTAATTTTTCTGGTTTATCGCTGTAAACTCCTGCGAATGAATAGTTTTCAAACGTTATATAATTCGTTAGTAATGTCATCTAAAGTCCGATCTACATGCGATGCAAAACGCAGGTCGCAGGTCGCGTGTGAAATGTATTTCAGATTGTAATAGGTCGCAAGACCGCAATATGTAGGACGCAAGACGCAGAACGCGAAAGTAAGTTCACCCAACTTTCTGCGTCTTGCGTTCTGCGTCCTACAACCATATTATATATAATTAAAATACGTTAGGTTAATTTCTAATATTGCGACTTGCGACCCGCGTTCAGCGTCTTATGTAGATCGGGCTTAATATACTTAAATGAATGATATTATCAAGGATAAGAATCGTTTGTCGTTACTTTTTACAATAATGATTTGGCAATAACGTTGCAATTTTGTTATGATAGTAACGATAACTAGCTAAAAGCTAAAATTGGGGAAGTCACTTTTAAAAAGTAACTTATCATTATTACGCGTTATTTATTAAAAAACTAACTCATGTGTAGCACATCGTCTCGTTATTTTTACTTGTTATTTTAATTTGTATAAGTAATGAGTTATTCTTTTACAATAAACAACCATGATCGGGACACGATACTTTTGAAAAATGATTTTTACTCAACTTTTGTATTCAGTTAGTTACTGTTACCATCCTAAAAAATGTTATTATCAAATCGTTATAAATAGTAACGTTAAAAGTAACGTTGAAGTACACGGAGAGAATTTTTTCTTAGAATTTACCCTGAAAATATGACAGTCGTGGGACAACATTGTATTTTGAAGAATTTTAACATAAATCCCTCTCATTCA